GCCACAATTTACAACTCTCAACATGTATGGAAGGGGTCTGCAACATTCTAACATTACAAGAAAAAAGGGTTTTACAGCGGTACAGTACTGTCAAAAAAAGTTTATTTACTGTCACAAATATTTTTTGTGGCGGCATTGTCTTGCCATAATGAGTGTGGTCTTAAAAAGTTTTTACGGCAGCAACGGTCTGTCTCAAATAATATTTACAAATTGTAAAAAAATTGTTACAAAAAACCTTTATTCTTGTATAGTGAAAAAGATAAAAAAAGAGACATTTTTCTTTTTGTTATAGCCGGGGTATCTGGATCTCGAAGAGCACCTCACTCATCCTCGAGAAAAGGTATGAATCTTCCATCTCACACATATTAGAAAGTTACCAAGAAGAATTCCTGGGATGTGACTCAAACAAAAACTCAAAATTAGAATCTCCAAATTTGTAGAATAAATTTAAGAAAGTCGTCGGGTTTCGGTTGACAGTATCCTATTAACTTCCCAAAGGCATCAATCAAACTGATAAAATTATTTGCATTGCTGATGCATAATAAACCGAAAGGAAAAAAAAAATTATAACCACTCAATTGTTATTTTCTTAAACTATGTTTTGACATCACATATTTGGTCTTTTGAATGCATACTTTCACATACTAGTGGGAGATTGCATGTCTCTTTTTCTTACAAGGGAAAAAAAAGAAGTTTTATAAAGAAAGGTACGAGACAACGNTGCTACAAAAAATAATTATTTCTATTGCCGCCACTTTTATTATACCTACAAACTATTTTTATCTCCTAATTCTAGTCCTAAGATTATCTCAATTTTAAATTTTAATTTATCCTCATTTAAATTTAAGTTTGACTTCTTAAATTAAATTTTTCACTCAAATTTGAGTCAAAGCTAAAAATACTCTTACAGAGTCAATCATGATCATCTTAACTCGGTGTAGCAGTGGAAATATGGAAAACAACTAACAATACAATCTTTTGTCGAAATATAAATATTCAAGCTTAAACTATTACAGCATATGGAGGTTCAGAGGTCCTGTATTTAAATTTTCCTCTGTGCTAATACTTTAAAGACTTTCATATGCTTGGCCAAAATTCAGCTACCACGTGAGGGGCATATTGAAATATATAAATATTTAAATTACACTAGTATTAATAATTTAAACTTTTAGAATGATTATTAAATATCTTCCAAACTCCATGGCCACAATTTACAACTCTCAACATGTATGGAAGGGGTCTGCAACATTCTAACGTTACAAGAAAAAAGGGTTTTACGGCGGTACAGTACTGTCAAAAAAAATTTATTTACTGTCACAAATATTTTTTGTGGCGGCATTGTCTAGCCATAATGAGTGTGGTCTTAAAAGGTTTTTACGGCAGCAACGGTCTGTCTCAAATAGTATTTACAAATTGTAAAAAAATTATTACAAAAAACCTTTATTCTTGTAGTAAAAAAGATAAAAAAAGAGACATTTTTCTTTTTGGTATAGCCGGGGTATCTGGATCTCGAAGAACACCTCACTCATCCTCGAGAAAAGGTATGAATCTTCCATCTCACACATATTAGAAAGTTACCAAGAAGAATTCCTGGGATGTGACTCAAACAAAAACTCAAAATTAGAATCTCCAAATTTGTAGAATAAATTTAAGAAAGTCGTCGGGTTTCGGTTGACAGTATCCTACTAACTTCCCAAAGGCATCAATCAAACTGATAAAATTATTTGCATTGCTGATGCATAATAAACCGAAAGGAAAAAAAAAATTATAACCACTCAATTGTTATTTTCTTAAACTATGTTTTGACATCACATATTTGGTCTTTTGAATGCATACTTTCACATACTAGTGGGAGATTGCATGTCTCTTTTTCTTACAAGGGAAAAAGAAGAAGTGTTATAAAGAAAGGTACGAGACAACGGATTTCAACATCATATAACTGAGTTTTGACAAAACAATTCAACTTAATTTATTTTTGTACCGAGATCTGAATCTCTTCGAATACTTTTTCCTTTTCCTCACAACAATAGATTGTCCACTAAGAATCAAAGTGAGATCCAATATATAAGTGGGTCTTTCACCAAAATATTAGGCGATTTGCTATCGAAAAAAAAAATGTATTTAATGGGATCTACAACTACTGTTTTTCAGAAAATCTAATTGAGTGTTGCATGGTTGGACGATCAATCGTTGTAATGTTTTGCAAAAAATAAGGAAAAAATCCACAACCAATGGCCGGCCCAAGGTATCAAACAATTTACTAGTTGTTGAAACCATGTCAGCAGTGAATATATACAAGAAATGAGAGTTGTATATGACTGGAATTTTGTTTGGTAGGAGTGAGAAAGATGAACAAGTCCGGTGATGTATGCACTTAGCAATACCAGGGTTAAAAACTATGATCTGATGGATATTCTATTGACATAACTATACCTTGTAGACATCACCAAATACTACATGTATACTGTTATTCTCTACTCTTTCTTAGTGTATCCTACTTGCTACAAGAAAGACGTGTTTTCGTTTTTTATTTTCTTTTTTTTAATAAACGCATGCAAAAGAATACATGCACATATTTTTCTCTATTCTTTTTTGTTTTGAGTCCCTCAAAGACAGACCACAACTACAGTTTTCTCCATAGCACTCTGGTACCATATTTAAAAAAAAAAAATAATTAGAAACTTTAGTTGCAACTATCATTAATCAAGATAATAATTAAAGAAAATGGTATTATCTATATCTATACCACTAATAAAAATACACTAACGAAAAAAACTTTTAATTTTTAAATTTATCCTTAACTAATGTTATAATGTCAATCATATCTTTATATATCCTTTTTTTTCATTTAATTTTAAACTAATTAGTATTTTGCTCTTTCTCTTAATAACAAGTTCTATCATCTTCCTATATTCATTGCACTGTTAAATATAAAATACCTGCAAACACATACAAATTTAAATTCTCAATCCTCTTTAAAATCTCTCTCTCTCTCTCTCTGTTTATACTCTTTTTTGTGATAAAAAAAAAACAAAGAAAAAATTAGGATACTATACCAAATGACATTTTTGTTCTACCGAAAATATTAAGTCTCATTCTTCTATATATGTCACTCACACCATTTGACGTCGTACCAACAAAATGAATTTGTAGAATACTTGTCATGTTCTTATTTATTCATGGAGAATCATCTAAGGATAGAACGAGAAGCATAATGTAACAATCACCTTTTTATTTTATTTTTCACTATTTACCATGTATAATATTTGTTAATCATGCAACATAATATTTGATGATAACTTAAATTTGTTCATGTGGCATTATTAGTAATGTACAAAAACTTTAAACGTGTCGGTTCTTATTAAAAAAAAATGATATGATATCGAAAAATAATTTTTCAAAAACGAATTAGAGTGATTGTCATTCCCATCAATTCCGCCCATTGGTATGCACATCCATAACAGAAAAACCTTAAAAATGACCTAATAATTGCCTCATAATCAATACAACACAATGTACACACAGCTTTACAGCCCAAAAAATCCTCGGCTACCAATTCAAACCCATTCATCCAACTGTATTCCAGTGTCTGTTTCCTTCCCATTTTCGTTTTTCAAATTATATTTTCTCCTTGCTTTCTTCCCAAAATCTCGGATTCTTCTCCATTTTCTCTCCCCAAAACTAGTGTTAATTGTACCCAAAGTCCTCAAAATATAAAATTTATTTGATTTTAGTCTCTAATATTTTAATTATATCATTTTAGTCTATAAAATATTTAATATATTTCTATATGATCCTTCAAGCAGACAACGTCTAAATTGTTAACGATTTTTTATTATAAATTTGTTACGTAATACCTAAATATGGGCAATCAAGAGTTCTCAAATTTGGTCAAGAGCTACATAAAATATTTTGTAGGTACCATATAATAAGTTTATGATAAAAAACTGTTAGTAATTTGGATGTTGCCTACTTGAGCAAATACATAAAAATATATTCAATATTTTAAGGAGCAAAATGATATAATTAAAATAAGACAAATTCTATATTTTAGGGACCTGTAGTACAAATTAACTCTCAAAATCAATCAATTATCAATTCATTAGAGTATCTCCAATTATGACTTAAATTTTTAATCAAATTTAAACTAATATTTGAGTAAAAAAACTTTATTTAATACAAATGGTTCTGATAGACAAATACAAATTTAAAAAAAGAAAAATTTTAATTTAAATGATGACAAACTTAAATTTAAAAAAGAGTAAAGATGACCATTAAATTTTGAATTAATTACAAATTATACTCTAAAAGATCGTTTAAATCTCAATTTATACCTTCAAAAGTAAAAAATCTCAATTTACATCCTTAAAAAATAAAAATTTATATCAATGCGCACTTAAAAATAAAACTAAATGGATAAATTATACTTAGATCTCTTTATATTTGTCATTTAATTATTTAGATCTCCTCACATTTAAAATATTATTTTTAATTTGACTAAGAATTTGATTTTTTTTTTAATTTGAATAATAAATTAGGACAAATTTTTAAAATTTTTTTACTTGAATTTTGAGTGAGGTTGGAGATCTGTTATTATAGTATTCTCTCTATTTTTAAATATTTGTCATTTAAGATTTTTATACAGGGATTAAAAAAACTATTAAGTAACTCTAATATAAGTAAAAAATAATTACACAAGACTAAAATATCCTTATTCAATACGTATTAGGAGAAAAAGGAATATAAAAGACATTTAATCTCCATCTAATTTAATGCATTAAAAAATTAAGATTAAATTTAAAAAAAAATATTAATTATATTTAATTTTATAAAATGACAGATATTGTGAAACAAAAAAAATTAATAAAACAACGTATATTTAGGAATAAAATTGGTAAAACGACGTATATTTAGGAATAGCTCGAGCAGCAGATTAGAGAACTCCGACCCCATTTGTCCTCGTATTCCAACATTCTTGTTGGAGAGAGAGAGAGAGAAACCAGCAATAATGGCCGTCGCCGGGGCCACAACCAAGCAGATGCCACTACTCCTAGTCAATGCTGTGGTACAGATCTCAGGCGCAGGATTTACTGGCTCTTTCAAGGAAGATTGTACAGACCTCTCAAGGAGGGTGGCTCTACTGGCCCATTTAGCCGAAGATATTCGGGACTTCAAGGGCGATCGGGGTTCCTCTTCTTGTTCGAATTCTTGCTTGTCTGATCTCACAGTTGCTCTTCAGGATGCAAAAAGACTGCTTTTGGCTGCCTGCAATTTCGATTGCACTGCCTCCTCTGTAAGTATTGTTCATTGCTCTGTGTGTAGTTTTATTTATTGATTTAGTTAGGAAATGGGTCAGTTGCATTTATTTTTAGACTCAAAAAAATTGAAATGGGTTGTTCTTATACAGTAAATTAACTAAGTTTTTGGAGGTTACAATGTGATAATTTAATTGCTCTTTGATTGAAAGACTGTATATATATCAGCACAAGTGTATGTGTGTATGTGTGAATTGAATTAGTAAAGGTCAACTGTGCTTTTGAACTTCAAGGACATTTTGTTAGTGTTGAATAGTGAACTTAATGAGTTTTTCAAGGATATTTGTTGCAATATGCTGCTGGTTATGATAATCCTATGGGTGTTCTGTTCTCAATTTCTCATCCACTGATCTAAATTTTCGAGAACACAAAGATCCCTCGATGGAGAATAGCTCTATTATAACTTTGTGCTGATTGTTAAGAGCCAATATCGAGAAATGTTGTTGAATTGTGGGTGTTTAGAAATGCAATTTTCATTTGGTAGTTAAATCTGCTTTTAAATCATTTTATAATTTGGGTATACAATAGTTGGAGGCTATGCATCATTGAAACAGATTTGAGGAGATACATGTAATGTCTCTAACCCGTTACAAACTAATTATTCTTTACATCGCTAAATATTGTTATGGATTTGATAAATTCCATGAAAGTACATCGTTTTACAAGTCCTTTAGTTACCCTTTGTTTTTGTAAGTATATTTCTGATCTTTATTTTCAACAAATTTGTGTCAAGTCCAGGTGTCATCTTAGTTTGAGATATCCCAATGTTTCTTGCTGTCAGACATTGTCAAGGAAATAATTTCCTTTCCTGGTAGCTGACTGATTAACCTGGTTTGCGGGGATGAAAGACTTGAAGCTAATAAACCATATTAGCGTAATGTTTCCAAAGGAAAGACATTCCCAGCGGCTTAATTTGTAGATAAGTGGATATGACAATCAAGTAAACTCTCTTATGGTTTGTTTCTGGTCAAATATGCATACTTATAAGGGGTTGGCAGGTCTATAATTTGTTCTGTTAAGGATATCTTTTTTTCCAGAAAGCAATTCTTTTAAGGGTATCCTCTAGTATACACCATTTTTTTCGGCTTAGGGATCACATATTATGAGGTATTCCATTTGTTTGTTAGTGGTAATACTTGAAATAATAATGATGCAATCGTGATGTTAATTGAGAACACGGGACTAGGTTTTTCATACTCAATGAAGTTCTTCTGTAGCTATGCTCATTTATTATGAAAGATTAGATGCCTTTCAAAAAATTTTATTTCATGATTTAAGGATGAAGCAGCCATGAAAATTGCCTTTCAATTTCAATGCGTGACATCGAAATTGGAGAAAGTGTTGGAAACCCTACCATATGATCATTTTGACATCTCCGAAGAAGTGCAAGAACAGGTAGGACTTGAGCTCTATGTGGTATGCTTATGTCAGCCAAATTTAGTCATAACATCTCCCCTTTTTCCAGGTTAAATTGGTGAGAACTCAATTGAGACGAGCCGCAGAAAGATATGGTAAAACAAGTTTACCATCTTGTGCCTTGTCTCAGCCGCTGGACGGACAGATTGAACCGCAAGAATCAGCAAACAGTAAAATCGGAAGCTTGAACAAGGAAAATATTTGTAATCTTGATCATGAAGTCAGAGCAATGGTGGAAAGTGCAAAAGATTCCATATTAGATCAGACGATTCACAAAGTGGAAAGGCCGAGAAACTCCTCCACGACATCTAAGTTTGGCCTGTCAAACAGTGGTGATGTTGACAAGGAAGACAACTCAACCAGTAATAATTTGCAGGAGAATAAGAAGCCTAATCCTCCTGTAATTCCTAATGATTTCCTCTGCCCTTTATCTCTCGAAGTGATGAGGGATCCTGTTATTGTGGCCACAGGGCAGGTATGATTTGTCCTTCTGTGATGTCATTTTAGCTTTTTTTGTTGTTTCTTTTATATGAAATTAATAGAGACAAAACCATTTTTTCATACGTGCCTTGTAATTTTATCTCTCTTCGTCCTACAGACATACGAGAGATCTTACATACAGAGATGGATAGATTGTGGCAACACATCATGCCCAAATACTCAACAGAAACTCCAAAATTTCACTCTAACCCCAAATTACGTCTTGAGAAGTTTAATTACTCAGTGGTGCACGAATCACAATATTGAGCAACCAACGATATTGACAAATGGGAAGATAAAGAAGAGTGATGGGTCATTCCGTGATATTAGTGGGGACATAGCAGCCATTGAAGCTCTTGTTCGGAAGCTTTCAAGCTTGTTAATTGAGGAACGCAGGGCTGCAGTGTCTGAAATCCGATCACTATCCAAGAGAAGCACAGATAACAGGATAATAATTGGGGAAGCTGGAGCTATTCCAATTCTGGTTGACTTATTGACATCTGAAGACATTTTAACAAGAGAAATTGCTGTCACCTCCATTCTCAACCTGTCTATACATGAGATTAACAAGGAGCTCATAATGCTTGCTGGTGCCATTCCTTCTATTGTCCAAGTCCTCAAAGCTGGAAGCGTTGAAGCAAGAGAGAATGCAGCAGCAACCCTTTTTAGCTTGTCAGTTCCAAAAGAGAACAAAATTATAATTGGTGAATCAGGAGCAATACCAGCTTTGGTAGAATTTCTACAGGAGGGAAGCATGCGAGGGAAGAAAGATGCTGCAGCAGCACTGTTTAGTCTGTGTATTTATCCGCGGAACAAGGGTAGGGCTGTCAGGGCGGGGATTATTATGGCATTACTGAAAATGCTCACAGATTCAAGCAGGTGCATGGTGGATGAATCTCTGGCACTACTCTCAATTCTTGCTAACCACCCAGAGGCTAAGGTTGCTATTGCAAAAGCTAGTTCCATTCCTTTCTTGATAGATCATATGAGGATAGGCCTGCCCCGCAACAAAGAGAATGCAGCTGCCATTTTACATTCCCTGTGCAAGAGAGATACTGAGAATATTGCTTGTATAAGTAGGCTTGGTGCAGTCATACCCCTGACTGAGCTTTCCAAGAGTGGCACAGACAGGGCCAGGCGGAAGGCTACTTCATTGTTAGAGCATCTCCGAAAGTCACAACAGCTCTAACAGGTGTAGTGTCATTGAATAAGTTAACTATTTGCTTCTTTGATTTTGCCTGGCAATGAATGTTACACGTTTTCTTTAGGCGTGTGAAAAAAAGTTGAGAATTTGAGCTTGAGAAATAAGGCCATTCTCATTGTGTATTTACCGACTTCGTTTTCAAATATTCATCCGACCTNAGTTAACTATTTGCTTCTTTGATTTTGCCTGGCAATGAATGTTACACGTTTTCTTTAGGCGTGTGAAAAAGAGTTGAGAATTTGAGCTTGAGAAGTAAGGCCATTCTCATTGTGTATTTACCGACTTCGTTTTCAAATATTCATCCGACCTTTTTGTTTCGAAATTTTTAACAAAGATGATATATTTGTGGGATGAAAGTAATGGAGACTATGAATTTTTTCTTGACAACTCGCTACTAATATCATTAGTGACAATTCTTCTGGAAAATTATCACATTCATATCACCAGTGACAAGGTGTAATATTGTAAGAGTGGTTCAAATCCAAGTGCTATGGAAATTATTTGTTGGTCACATTATCTGGAGTGCTAGCAGTACCCCACAAGTCTTCCTTGGGCCTTTAGAGGAGATAAACTCAAGTTGGTCACAACCTGATTGATACTTAAACTAGTTTGTTGCAGCATCCCAAAAAATAAAAAAACAAAAAAACAAAAACTAAGGTTGCGTTGGATAACACTTATTTTAACAGTCGTTTAGGGAAAAATAAATGAAAATAGTTGCTTGACACTCATATAATCATATTGCTTCCACTGTGTGATGCCATTACAATTAGATTTGTCAACGGATCGAATTCAATCTGATAATTCGACGAATTTTATTTTCATGGTCTATATCCAAATCTGTTAACAATCCGAGATTCGATCCAAATAACTTAATTAACTAATTTTTAACAAACTATACCTCAATTNCAAATTCAATCTGATAATTCGACGAATTTTATTTTCATCGTCTATATCCAAATCTGTTAACAATTCGAGATTCGATCCAAATAACTTAATTAACTAATTTTTAACAAACTATACCTCAATTTCAACTAAATTTTTTTAAATAATCACTTAATTTTTTTAATATTTATATAAAAATATATAAATAATTCGGATCGATTATAAGCATATCTAAATCCGAATCTATTAAATATAATGTATCGGATTTGAATTCGGGATTAGANCGGATCGATTATAAGTATATCTAAATCCGAATCTATTAAATATAATGTATCGGATTTGAATTCGGGATTAGATTAAGAGTAAACAATATTAATCTATATTGGACTAATCAAATTTGAATTTAAATCAGAATCCGATTAATTGAGGGACGCAATTATGATGTAATTCAATTGTTAATACTAACACAGTAACACAAACACCAGAGTCTGAATGGAATCTCAACAAGTTCTTGAATCCACACATTTGGGCTTCACTGTTGAAACTGTGGTTTGAAGAAAGCAACGTTGTATCAACCACTTTTGGCAGTTTTATTTGCTGTTGCATTGCTTTGTGACTTTTGCATGTCGTTAAGTAGAAATAATACTACTGTTGCTATTGCAACACACCTCCTTTAGTGCAGTCGAAAGCGACCTCAGGTTGGTTCATGTCACTTCTCAAGACATATTAGCTTCGGGTCCCATCATTTTGAGTTCATATAATATTTTTGATTGGAAAAAATATTCGATACCGTACTATTTACTATTTTTTTGGATATCTATTTACACCTAAAATCTGTATATATTATCTTTTGGGCAACGTTTATCAACTTTTATGATCCGTTTAGTAGAGAGGATGAAAAATATGAATGATAAAAAATAAGAGAGATACACTTTCTATCTTTTAATGATGAAAAATAGGAGGGATACATTTTCTATCCTTCAAGGATGGAAAATAGAAAGAATACACTTTCCTTTCTTTGTGTTTGGTTAATTAGATGGATGGAAAATAAATAAAAAATATTTTTTTTTTGTATGCTAGCTAAGATTAGGGGTGACAATCGAGTCAAGTCGTGTCGTGTCAGATTCGTGTTAAGTCATTATGAGTTTGTGTCGAATATTAATCAAACCTAACTTAACTTATTTAATTAATTTTGTCGTGTCGAGTTACGAGTTGACCTGTTTATTTTCGTATCGAGTTTGAGTCATGTCATGATGTTGAGTTTAAAATTTTCACTCTTAGTTAAGATGGAAAAAAAAAATTAAAATTTTTTATTTTTTATTTTTTAAAAATATATATACATATTTTACCATTGCATTTTTATATGAAATTAATGTATGCATAAGTTATATAGACAAATAAAATACATCTCCACACAAATAATTAACTTTTCATCCACTTTCCTTTCGATTTTAGAGGGATTGATATTTTGATGAGTTGGAAAAAAAAGTTAATTCATCCACTTTTTCATCTTTCTACTTTTCTTCCTTACCAAACATGATATTTTTTTTATCCCTCTAATTTTCCATCCTTCCAACTTTCTATCTTCCCACTTTTCCATCCTACCAAATGAAGCATTAGAGTAAATTCACCTTTTGGGTTCACTTATGACTCTTTTATTTTTTGGCACTCGAAATAGATANAAGAGAGATACACTTCTATCTTTTAATGATGAAAAATAGGAGGGATATATTTTCTATCCTTCAAGGATGAAAAATAGAAAGAATACACTTTCCTTTCTTTGTGTTTGGTTAATTGGATGGATGGAAAAAAAAAAAATTATTATTTTTTGTATGCTAGCTAAGATTAGGGGTGACAATCGAGTCAAGTCGTGTCGTGTCAGATTCGTGTTAAGTCATTACGAGTTTGTGTCGAATATTAATCAAACCTAACTTAACTTATTTAATTAATTTTGTCGTGTCGAGTTACGAGTTGACCTGTTTATTTTCGTATCGAATTTGAGTCATGTCATGATGTTGAGTTTAAAATTTTCACTCTTAGTTAAGATGGAAAAAAAAAATTAAAATTTTTTATTTTTTATTTTTTAAAAATATATATACATATTTTACCATTGCATTTTTATATGAAATTAATGTATGCATAAGTTATATAGACAAATAAAATACATCTCCACACAAATAATTAACTTTTCATCCACTTTCCTTTCGATTTTAGAGGGATTGATATTTTGATGAATTGGAAAAAAAAGTTAATTCATCCACTTTTTCATCTTTCTACTTTTCTTCCTTACCAAACATGATATTTTTTTTATCCCTCTAATTTTCTATCCTTCCAACTTTCTATCTTCCCACTTTTCCATCCTACCAAATGAAGCATTAGAGTAAATTCACCTTTTGGGTTCACTTATGACTCTTTTATTTTTTGGCACTCGAAATAGATACACAGATAAGTCATTGTACATATTCGTCAGCAAACATTGTCTCTCAGCATCACACACCTATCTACAAGGAATCCCACCACACTTACGTCGGAGCCGAAACTAAGGTCCTATCGCGTGCTCTAAACATTAAAGTGTAGATTTAGCCCCAATGAACTTCTATAGTTATGGAGATTCGAATTCAAACATTGAGTGAGAAAATTCAAATTCTTACCTACTAAGCCAACAACTCGTTGGTCACTTATCACTCTTTCGAGTGAAAGTAACTTATCACATTTTTAGATTTTTTTACTTTTTGATATGATATCAAAAAATAAAAATAGATACTGTAAAATTTCTCTTATATCATATTCAAATCATAATTATAAATAGAAACCACAATTTTATGTTCTTTACTCTTCTAGAAAATATTTTGGTTTTCGAGAATTCATATAATATTAGATCAAAAAAAAAAAAAAGAAATTTTTTGACAAAATCAGCAGGGTGTTTCTTGGTGGAAAAGAGCTAAATGAAACATTCATGCCAGTGGAAAGGATTTTCCTGGAAGTATGCAGTAGGGCAGAAGATCAAATTTTTATGCTCGTTTAATATTCAAATAGGGTTTTAACTAATGTGCAGCTCAGCTTAGCACACTTGAGCTCGGTTCATTTTTAATATAATCAAACATTTTTGCAGTGAAAAAAAGTAGCAAATTAACACTCTTAGCCTATGTATGACGTGTTTTTGACGTCTAATTAAGAGACTCTGAATTATAGTCTCATTGGAAGTCTTTTTTTTTTGGAATTTACTCGAGATTTGAATTTGAGATAGTAGTACAAAATTGGAAAAGGATTATCAAGAAGCGGGGTCAAGCTTGAGTAAGAGTCTAAAATCTGAAAGTGATACTTGAGCACGTGATGGTCTATTTTTTTTCAATAGTCAAGAGTATTCTGGTCAACTTACACGTATCTCGATTAATCTCCTCTTCGATCGGATCAAAAATAGATCATTCATGTCGGTATTAAGATATTTATGAAAGATAAATCTCTCATGACCTGATCCCAAAAAAATATCAAGATTCAAATATAAAACGTTTGAATTTACAGTTTGCCCCTATTACTATTTAAACAAAAATCATAGCATCTTAGGCCGAGCTTGACCCATACCAAAATTTGAAAATCTAACATTAACATGGAAACCCATTGAACCAAATATTTCTAATATGTGCCTAATTGATCGAAATTTCAACCTTCAAAACAAAGAGGAGAAACATCATGTTTTTTCATATCTGTGTCACTGATAGGTCATTCTTTGTCCAGGATAACAATAGAAAAGATCAGTTGTTTACAAGAAATTTGATCGACGGAACATCAAAATGGACTTAACAGTAAGTCGTACTCACATGTTTCAAGATAAACACAAACTTTGTCCATCATCTTTTACTTTTATAAAAGACTAGAACAGTATTAACAGTCATACGAATTGATCGGTGCCTTAATAAGCTTTGATATTTCTTTTTGGTATGCGTGTTCAAGTTTCTATCGAGTTTCGTCTACTCTCGCGAAATCAATTGTTCAAAAATTTTAATATGTCAAATACTAAATCAAAGTACACTCTAATATATTTTTTTTTCCTTCTTCAATAGATTTTCCCCTGATTACATATTATGTATTATTGAGAGACTCATTTATATATAATAGGGGGTTGTTTGGTACAGGGTTGTTGGAGGACTTGACAAGATGGATTTGAATAAAAATAGTCCAAAAGACCTTCAAATCTTATGTTTGAATTAGATGTTTAGTCCCAGATTCTCAAAATCAGCCAGTAATTGGGTCAAAGATTAAACTCATGATCATAAGTTTCGTCAAACCTAGGAAGAGGTGGGTTTGGAAAGATGAATAAGGGGTTAAGAATGCAAAAGATAAATGTACCCCTTAATATGAGTATTAATTGAATTGATTAAGAGTAGAATAGTTATTTATAGGACAAATAGTTATTAATAATTATGATATATCCGTGAGTTCTATATATGTATGTGTTATATATCAAACATGAGTATGAACTAAATTAAATGTTGAATAACATTTTTGTAAAGAGAGATTTGAGTTTAGAAAGATTTAGAGAAGTCAATTCAAACCCCTCTCCAAAATTCATCCAAGCAAGCCCTTTGTCTATTTGGAGTTGGCTTAAAATCTTAGTTTTTTTTTTTATTTTAAAAGAAAAAGAAGTCTAATCTGTTTGGACTTGGATTTATTGGGTGATTTTTTCATCAATTTTTTGGACAAAAATAGATTTTATCAACACCAAGAAAAAAAATGAAAAATGGGACTTATCCAAAACCTTCCAAGAAAAAGTCAATTTTTTTAAAAACACTTCAAATAGTTCTAAGAGCTTTTTTAACTTTAATTTTTTTTATTTCATTTTGCAAACATATATTTTGCACTCAAAAAAATTAATTCTAAACGGGTCTAATATTCTGTTTAAATTTACGATAAATGATCTTTCAAGAAGNCCTTCCAAGAAAAAGTCAATTTTTTTAAAAACACTTCAAATAGTTCTAAGAGCTTTTTTAACTTTAATTTTTTATATTTCATTTTGCAAACATATATTTTGCACTCAAAAAAATTAATTCTAAACGGGTCTAATATTCTGTTTAAATTTACGATAAATGATCTTTCAAGAAGAGAAAATCACTGTAAATAATATTAGAGCTTATGCTACACACCTAAATTTTAAGTTTTTCGCAAGTTAAAGGTCTTAATAGGGCAGTTCATTGGGTGGCTACAACGACACTATGTGATTCCATTACTGTGAATTGTGTTAGCTGTCCTTTCGTAGAGTTTCACGTTTGTTTTGCATTTGACCGTAGTCATACCTTTTGTACTTGAATAAATTTTTTTATCTACCTGATAAAAAAAAAAAGAAGAAAATTACTTTAAAATAAAAAAAAGGTATGAAACAGGATTAAATTCTATTATATTCTAATCTTCAAATGATGAATTTCATCATGATGGAAATTTAATCACTTCCAACAATAACACTGAAGTCAAATCACACATGATGAATAGAATCTCAATGAAATTCTTGAATCCACGCCGTGATTAGTGTAAGCCATTTTCATTGACAAAAGTGAGCGATAAAAATAATGTAANAAACAGGATTAAATTCTATTATATTCTACTCTTCAAATGATGAATTTCATCATGATGGAAATTTAATCACTCCCAACAATAACACTGAAGTCAAATCACACATGATGAATAGAATCTCAATGAAATTCTTGAATCCACACCGTGATTAGTGTAAGCCATTTTCATTGACAAAAGTGAGCGATAAAAATAATGTAATTATCTCTCCTTTTGTCTCCCACTTATCACGGGTTTAATTTTGTAGGTTTCAAACCAAACAATTTTGTCCCTTTATTGCATTCAAATTCTTTGAAATTGGGTTGAATTTTCGGATTGTGTAGTTCAGTCAAAACATTATTATTAAATAACACACATGTTATACTCCTTTTTATTAAATTAAATTTTTAAGATAGATAGTGGTTTAATATCGTAGTATAATTTACAAAATTCGAGTTTAAATAACACCAAAACCTCCTTCCTTCTTACATAAGAGGAAGAAAAAATAAGAATTAAGTGAAGAGTATTACAATACTTGTGTTACACCTTTCTCGATGAGTTTGGCTACCCTCGTATTTAAGAAGATTGAGTGGTTAAGATTTACACATCAACATATTTAGNATATAGTGGTTTAATATCGTGGTATAATTTACAAAATTCGAGTTTAAATAACACCAAGACCTCCTTCCTTCTTACATAAGAGGAAGAAAAAAAAAGAATTAAGTGAAGAGTATTACAATACTTGTGTTACACCTTTCTCGATGAGTTTGACTACCCTCGTATTTAAGAAGATTGAGTGGTTAAGATTTACACATCAACATATTTAGTAGATTTTGAATTTTAAAATCTTTTTGAATTAATTTAATATGTATTGATTATGATCATTCAAAGAGAACTGACAATCCTCAAATTCTTAAAAATTGGAAGTGAGTCCAACCTTTTTCCAATAGCTTAAGATTTTAGGGTTGATAATAGTTTAACAATAAATGGTGGAAAAACTCATGTGGCCAAGATTTAGGGATAAAAAATACTACACAATCTAAATAGATCCAACATGTTAGGTGAGTGAACCCCACTGAAAAATTGATGGGACACATTCATCTAATAAATTATATTCATCTGGATTATAATTTTTTAAATTTTATTTTGAGTTATATAGCATTACAATTCAAACTTTAAGGTCTTGNCTACACAATCTAAATAGATCCAACATGTTAGGTGAGTGAGCCCCACTGAAAAATTGATGGGACACATTCATCTAATAAATAATATTCATTTGGATTATAATTTTTTTAAATTTTATTTTGAGTTATATAGCATTACAATTCAAACTTTAAGGTCTTGGCTAACATGTAGGTAACAAGACAATACAATCAAATTCTGGTTGCACTAAGTTTATTGTGTATTATTTTTGGCCAAATTATATGTGAAGTTTGGTCCAATTTCATAGGATCCAAACTCAATTACATTTGAATGCAAAACGAAGGGTTGTTGATATGCATACAAACAGCAAAATGTGGGGAAACAAGTTGGTTTGAATTAATATAGCAAAGGGTCACATGCACACTCTTTCATTTGTCAAACAGTTGATGCAAATATTCAAAATTTGCACTCTTTCTTTGACCCATAACCTCCCTACCACAACCACCGCCAATAAAACTATAAATACCCTCAAATTACACACCCACCATGCCATATGACCTCTTGGTGGGACAAAGAGGGGGACCCAAAAGTACATCTACCAAGAGAGAGACAGACAAGGTTCTCTTGTTCATTTTTATAATCACAGGAGAGAATCCAAAGAGAGTGAAGAGAACAAGAATGGGTAACAGTTTAGGAGGAAAAAAAACAGCTAAGGTTATGAAAATCACCGGCGAGACAATCAAGTTAAAGACTCCTGTGAAGGCCGGTGAGGTTGTTAAGGACTATCCCGGCCATGTTTTGTTAGATTCCGAGGCAGTTAAGCATTTTGGAATTCGAGCAAAACCCTTGGAGCTTCACGAGGAACTGAAGAAGAAAAGAGTCTATTTCCTAGTGGAATTGCCTAAGTTTCCTGATGAGAAAGTTCCAAGAAGAGTCCGGTCAGGGATTCACATGAGTGCGAAAGACCGGCTCGAGAGCCTAATGCTGGCTAAGAGATCTGCATCGGACCTTTCTGTCATGAGACCGAGGAACATTATGCTCGAGGAGTCGAAGGAAGGAAAAGAAAATGGTCATGTGAGGATGAAAATGAGGCTTCCCAAGGCAGAGTTGGCACGGTTGATGACGCAAAGCAAAGACAAGGCCGAGGCAGCTCAGAAGATTGTAGATCTTTACATGGATAACAACTCCAACGGTGGTGGTGGTGGTGGCAGTGGCAGTGGCGGGGAGGCCGACAAGGTGCATGATGGTGCATTGTTGCACCAACAATTGCATTGGAATGGTGGCAGTCAAGGAAGAGCTAAGGTATGTTTTTCTTCAGACACTGATCCGGTTTTCATGCCATGTTTTATGGGTTTGATATTTCTTATTGTTCATATCTACGTTTATAATATGAAAGACTGGGGAATTGTGACGATGAGAATGGAAGTCATTGATTGACCCCCACAGAGGTAGTTTAAGTTCTTTCACCAATAAGTTATAAATTTAAACATTTTAAATTTGAATTTTGATAATTTTTTAGACCGGTCTATAATAGTTTTATACCTTATTAATATCTTAATTTTGGCATGGAAAACTTGCTTCTGATCGAATCAGGGAGGGAATTAGTCAAAATACATGTAAGTTAGACTCCAACTCATTTTCATCCAGAAGTTTTGTGTATTTTTCTTAAGTTTCTGGATCTATTTTGGGAATTCTCTTGCACATGTAGCAGCCAATTGATGATTAATTCTTCTCATTTTTTTGAGTTGTAAAAGTATAAATTGATTTTTTATATTTAAATTTTGTTATCATATTTTTTCTCATTGATAATATTGCTAATCTAATTATTTTTTCTTGTGACAATTGATTTTAAGTAAGATTTTACTAATTTTAATTTTGAAAAACTTCTTTTTGTAGAAGTAACTATTACAAAAATTAATAATAATATTTTATAAGCAATGCATACATTTGAGAAAAAAAATCTAATCTTTTTGTATAATTTAGTGTCCCAATTAGAGTATTTTCTTTCATTTATAAAATCTTCTTTAAAATATTTTATATTAAAAATAAATCTAAACTATCAATATTAAAAAAATTGTTATATTTTAAGAAACATCCGAAATAGAGAGAGGAAGTGATTAAGGATGGGTGAGTGAATTATAACTTGACTTTTGAGTATCTCATCAGTTTTTTTTTAATGAAATTTTGATTTTTTAGGTTATTATTATTATGGGTTGAATCGTGAGCTCAAAAAATTATTAAAATTAAAATTTTTGATTGGCCTTAAATTTTAACTAAAGATTTTTTTATAGGGCTTGTAATTTACATAGACTAAAAATTCTAAAGTGTGCCAACTATTTACCTAAAATTAGGAGGCCTTCTAAAATTATAGAGCCTAAAGTCCAAGTTTTTTTACTTCTATAGTTAGGCATGCCCTCCTCGGTTAGTTGATAAGCTCTTCGGTAAGAGTAAATCAAGGATTGAAACTTCTTACGAATGTATATATCCTTTAAAATCATCGTACGAATAGGGTGCACAAAGGAAGTGACATTCATTGAAAGCGAAGCATCGTAAGCTGCAATAACACTTTCACTTTCAGTACTCAAATTTAACCCCTCGTATGTAGAGACGTGCTTGAGTGGAAAACTATGAGTTTGGCGACTTCCCACACAAATGGACAATTTGGTGATCGGGGATAAGATTTTCCCAAAAGTTTTTAGTCCTTTTGCATGACTACCAATATACAATTCTTCAAGTCCCCTTGGTAATAAAAAGGTTTGGCATTTGTTTGACTACCAATATATAAAAAAAATGAATTGACACTATTCTACCAACTAGAGACTCTATTACGTCAGAGTTACTTCATTAATACATGTCAAAAGATGTGGCTGCTATGGGAACTTGGGACTCATTGCAATCCATCTGCATCGAGTCAATTAGCACGTCTCTAGCGAGTCTTGAACTCTTGAGAGCACTAAGATGTAGCAAAAGGGTGATATGTATTTGTTACCAAGAAAAAACTTGTAAAAAGAAGATGGAAAGAGAAAAGAATGAACTAAACAATCAGTTCATGTCTATTAATCATGCGTTTTAACCTTTCTTCTTATTTTTCTACGAGGAATAATTTTATTCAGATTTATAATCATTATTGATTTTGGTTGGTTACACTTGCAGAAGAGAGTCGGTTTTCTGCTCGTCGATGAACAGGAGATTCAATTAGCTGTGGCCTCTTAGCAGCCGATGATCATACGTTGCAAACAGTTGAAAGTGAACCAGAAACAATGCAAGATTCAAAGAAAGAAGAAAAAAAAATTTCCCTCTTGCGTCTACATACTCCAGCAAATTTCCCAGCAACCAAACACACTTGTTTTTGTGTTACCTCTGTACAAGGAACAACAAAGCTGTGAAATGCTGAGAATTAGAAGATAGCTTTAGGTGGTTTCACACAAGTAGATGTTTTTGGAAATAACTTTAGTATGACTTGTATAATAGTTACAAGACTCTTGCAATAATGCTGGCTGTTCCAACTTCTCCTCACATGAAGCCTCTGGCCATGAAAGAGAACAATTAATCCTCTGTCAAATCCTGCAACACATTAACAATATTAATATTTCAAGCTTCACACACACACACACACACGCACACAAATATGTGTTATTGGCCATTCTGATAATTAATATTCTAAAAATATTGATATAGTCAATATTATTTGTTAGAGTTGACTACCGGGTATTTTCAGAGTAATTTTTTACAACCATTCACGGGGTTAGGTTTTTCGGTCAAAAATAGCCTTTACTACCTTATTATATTACTTTTTTATTCATTGATAAAATAATTATAACAACTTTTGAATACTGCATCGATAGCAGAAGAGTGGTGAAGAGAAATCCGAAAAAGACTACCATTAGTCTGTTGGTTGACATAAGCGTGGGAGAATCAAAGATGACCAAGTAAACTAGACTCCATTGGTCAATACCTATGCTGAAAGAAGAGAATCTGACTGGGTAGTATGGGATGGATGGTAAGTAATTATTTTGCTGATAGCAAACTAATAATGATTCAAAATAACCCTCCTCAAAGACATAGTACTGATTGATCTCAGAAAGTGAAATATTGTTGATTGCTGAATCAATACTAGGAAAAGGGAAATGTGTTTAAGCCTAAGTTCTTGGTGGAGAAGACGGCCCTAGTTAAGCTTGTGGCAATCTCAGTTTTTTCATGTCATCTAAAAGGAAGATCGGCTATAGGGAGAGAGAGAGAGAGAGAGAGAGAGAGAGAGAGAGAGAGAGAGAGAGAAGGGGCAAAAATTTGATAAGTTGATACTAATGTCCAGTATGATCAGAGGGGTTTGTGATCGAGTAATAAATTGATCGACGCCCAAAGAAGACTCGACTGAATTCTAACAATGAAGTAAGGATTACAAGCCCTCCAGTCACTGTCTCTTCAAGATGGCATCCTCCTAACAATGAAGTAAGAACAAGTTTAAGCCATAGTTTTGACCTCATTTTCTCACAGAAAAAAAAAAAAAAAAAAAAACCCATAAATGCAAGCTCTGCAGAAGTCGAATGAAGGAATTTTCTTCAAGGAAACTTGTTCACATGTACAGAAAGTACAATGAAAACCCGACGGGGGAATTTTGTTCCCTTCTTTTTTGTATAAACCTATTTTTTGGGGCCTATTGTTCCCACATTCAAAAGAAAATAATAAATGTATCCAAAAAAAAATAAAGAAAATAATAAACAAACAACAGCAAAGGATCTATCCACCCTCTCCATCTTTCTGCAATAGCAGTTCTTTCCATTATTAGCCAATAATCTGCCAATAAATTGAATGCAATGATGTGGTTTATGGTGACCACTGATCAGGTACTGTGAGGAAATACGTTGTCATTGCTTTTCTGAATCGTTTCTTATACTGTTTCGGAGAAATGATTGTTGGAGAAGCATTCTTCGGTCCACCAAGTATACCAGATGCCTTTACCCACGTCTCCAAATGCTTGTCCCAGGTGTATTGTCTCATGAAGTCAATGATACCTAAGACCAGCTCGTTGCGCTCATCGTCCACCCCAACCAGCAAGGAATAATCCATGACGTCAACAGACTGCAAAAGCACAAGAAAGTTAATGGTGCACCTTTGAAACCAAATTTCACTCCACTCCTATGCCCGATTCCCTTATGTCCAAAAAAAACCCCAAAAGAAAAATCATCTAAAAAATTTGAGACACAATTTCGAAACACAAAAGTTCAATGATAAAACTGATTACCGCTAAAAAGGATGTATCATTCCAAACAGCTCTCTCGAGGCTTCTCTTTGCCTTGCTTCCTAGAAAAATGGGTTTAGTCCGCAGCGTTTCCAAGAGATTCATATCTAGCAGTACTTTATTTGTCCCTGTGGGATCTGAATTGTAACGAGATCTCGCAGAGCCTTTAAGATCATAGAGCCTTGAGATACTTCGGTTGAAAAAAAGGTTCTCCATCACCATCAAATCCATTTTTGTTTCCTTTCCACCTTTCCCGTGTTTGACAGTAACCTACCATTAGAACATAGATATTAGAATAACAACAATACAAGAGCTCCAATACTCCAGCACCCCTACCCTAGCCACACACACCAGCTGGCAGATGAGAAATGGTACCTGATATATGCNAGTTCGGTTGAAAAAAAGGTTCTCCATCACCATCAAATCCATTTTTGTTTCCTTTCCACCTTTCCCGTGTTTGACAGTTACCTACCATTAGAACATAGATATTAGAATAACAACAATAAAAGAGCTCCAATACTCCAGCATCCCTACCCTAGCCACACACACCAGCTGGCAGATGAGAAATGGTACCTGATATATGCCTAGAACTTTAGCCAGGCAAGTTGGACTTCCTGAGCTAAGAGAATCTGTCAGATATTTGAAGTATTGAGGTGCGAATTCTTCAAAAGACTCCAACTCAGTCTTTGTGACTTGCTTTATAATGAATCTTTCATCCAATGACTTGGCAAAATAGACATTGCTCTTTCCTCCTTGTGCACTCCATCTCTTGCAGCGACTAAAAGAGCGCACAAAATCCAACTCACTTGGGCAGCATTTCTTTCGAAGGGCATCAAATTGCTTTGCAAAATAACAGGTAACAGAAAACTTCACCTTTTCGCCAGCATAGTTAGATTCATCTTGAAAAGAAATTCTCAAATGAGAAGAGCTCTTGGGATCAGTAAACAGGGTACCAATTGTCGTCGAAGTTTCTTCAGATCCCAAGCTTCCATAGTGAATATAATCCGAGTCAAGAGAGCCAATAGACTGCCATGCTGAAAAATTAGAAGCTATAGAATTATACTTATTTATCTCACTAGCAGTGCATACATCATGTTCATTCAGCTTATGCACAACCCGGTCTTCATATTCCTTGCAACAAAGGGCGTAAGCGATTATGCTGGTGGGTTCATTCTCATAGACAGCAATAACTAAGTTAATTTGGCCATTTTGTGGAAGCAAAAACCGTGCTCCTTCAGGCAACAGAGATGCAGAAGAGATAAAGGAGGGTGAGGCACTCAGAGGAAGATTTAATTTCTGGGCTTCGCGAGGTAACATTTGGGAATAAGTCCTCTGTACGATAGAGACAGGGTCCCTGATCATATTCCTGTACTCACCAGAAGCATGAAAAGATCTAAGTGTTGACAAATGCAATGAAGAGGGGGACAGTCCTTTCCTAATTCTGTCTTGAATTCTCAATGCAGAATCGAAGGAATAAACTCTAGCCGGTGACATTAGCTTTCTAAAAGGTGGATTATCAGTTTGATTTATCTGCATGAGCAAAGCAGCTTCAGGTACATCTGCCTCTAGTGTCTTCAGGAACTGAGTTTTCAAAGACAGTTGATCTGTACCACTCCATAAAGAATCTATTTTATCGGATAGACTGGTTCCAGCTGAGGGGACGCGTTCCAAGGCTGTACTATTGACTGCGCCATCCGAGTACAATTCCTCCTCTTTGTTATGGAGATGGGAGTTTGATATGGAGTCTTCTGGAACTCCAGGCTCAGATGGTGATGCTTTCGGCTCCTCCAACTGTTCAGACTGTAGATCCTTTCGAGAAAGCTTCAGTAATTTTGAAATCTCAGGCACATTTTCTTCATTGCCGTAGTCAAGACTGCCATCCTCAACAGATGCATCACTTCTCCCATTTTTCAGCTCAGCATAAGATGCAACATCCTGTGTAACCTCAGAACCAGAACTCCTTTTAAGAAGAGAATCCAATGAATAAAGCCGACGATCCCAAACATGTGAACCAATAAGGAGAGAATGTCTCAAGCGATTGAGTTCAAGGATGTTTAGTGCTCCCTGGCCCAATTCTGAAGTCTTTTCATCAGCAGGTTGGAGCAGATCCTAATCAAACAAATGGAAACAAGTCAGAAATAAATGGATGCACTACTAAGACATCAACAAAATGATAAATTTGTATCAAAAGAACAATACAAGCTCCTATATACCAAGACCTGCTATGAAAATAACACTATTGTTGATCTCTGGTCGGTACTTACATTGTACTCATTTTTCTCTTTCAAAAGCAGATTTTTCAACTCCTTGATGCGAGTACATAACACACTTATATCAGATGATTCATGTCCAAAAGATGTGCTTTTCTGTTCTGTGCTGCAAAGCACACCTAATATCTCCTCATATAAGGTTTCCATTTTATTTAGAAGCTGGCAGGGGAAAAGGTAGAAGGTTATAGATTTGTCAAAAATGTAGGGAAGTTATCAATAATATCTGAAATTTAGCATCAATAAAAGGAAATCATAGAAATTGCATTGTTTTCAAGATTCTATGAAGCACCTCAGCTGCCTCTTTTCTTATCCAGTCCTGTTGCACATGACCATTGAACTCGAGCACTGACGGGGGCAAACAGACAGAAAGAATATTGATAGGACAATATCGGAAGAATGCAACCATACTCCCAAACCTATTTAAGCAAACAAGAAAACTTCTGTTGATCAACACCATCAGATTCAATCATACACGACATTACACACAAAACGAAGAAAATCAAAGCACGTTCATATTAAAAGCATGTACCCATAGTAACGAAGGCAGTCCCTTTGTAAAGAATGACCACAAGTGGCAACACGATTAGCAGTTGCATGGTTCGAAAAACTGAGTTCCAAAAACTTTCCAAAAGAAAGTCCCCAAGCAGCATCAGACATGACCACTCTGCGGGTTGCTGGTGGAACTCCATCTAATTGTGCACACCTGAGACATCTATGCCACATCCATATTTTCCCATCCCGCTCCCCAGGTAGCTTCACTGAAGGAAGGCGTCTAACATTTATTGTGAGATTTCCCTGTTGATGTGTATAGCATTGGACATGGGCTTCAGCTGGCTCTTTACATGATCGACAGCAAGATGTCTAGCAACAAAAGGTGCAACAAATTAATAAATCCCAGTCTAACAACCCTTCCCAAGTAATAGAAATCGACCCGAATGAAAGGTTACCTGATCAAACAGATCATCTCGAAGATACCTTCCAAGTGGCTTATCGAAACAGCCATAGAACTTGATGCGCAGGAGTCGGGAGCGTTCGCATACAGTACCATTCAGCACACAATGGCAAGAAAAAGACACTAGTATGCTCTGGTGACTGTCAGTGGCTGAATAGTATTCACTGGAGGCTTCAATTTCATCAATATTTGCCACTTGAAAGAGTTCCCTTGGTCGCCTCTCCCCTTGGCCTGTAGTTTCCAGGGACTCATCCAGGATATCATCCTTCATCTCAGAAGGAAGCACAGCGGGCCTTAAATCCTCCAAAGCCACATTAGATGCTATTTCACAACGGGGTGCATCAGGAAAAGCAACACCAACTCTGCACTTGCTGAGTGTAGGAGAAGAATAACGATCAGCATCTTGAAGCTCAAACGACATTTCCTGCTTCGCGAGCTCCAAATTTAGACCTGTTTGTCCTTCTTTAAATTCTGGGATATCAGCAATTTCTTGATAACTGCTGGCCAAAATAGAATTAGGGATAACTGAAACGGCATTATCAGCAGTTGTCCTCTCTGGTATGGCAATTGATGGTTTTAATGCAAGTTTAGGTAGACTGGCACCCTCGTCAGCAAGAAAGGAAGTCTCCAGAGACAGATGGTATGCAGCAAACACCGCATATTGAACAACATTTTTAACCTTCTTTAGTTCCTCTTGACATAAGCCCTTCAGCAGGACCTGCGAAAATTCACAGATATATATAAGCCCAAGATGACGCTGATTGTTTACCCAATTACAACCCAGCCAACCTAGGGTGCTTTTAGTGCATTAATGTTTAAACTTTAAAGATGAAGAAACAGAGAAAATAGGCTTTCTTTTCGGAATAGAGTGGTGTTGGCAACTGTAACGAAAAATGAGAAAATGAAAGTCACGTGAGTGCTAAAATTATTTATGCGGCAATGCTTGTGCGGGGAGGCAGGCATTTGACATCATACGAATTGCTCATTTTTCTTATGAGGCCTGATTTTTTTTGGAAAAATATAACTTTTTCCAGGTTTTCTTTGGGGTGGTGGTTTGTTGGTGGGTATGTTCGAAGACAAGGACAAAAAAAAAAAAAAGGACAGACCCTTATCACGAGGGTTGGACAAGGTGAAGATCTAACCTTTGGCAATATACTTATAAAGTAACTACACTCAATTTCAAATACATGACACATTGAGTTTCTTGGTCTGAATGTTCTGCCACTAAACTAGCCAATGACCCATTAGAAAACAGAAACAATCCAGATGGCCTGATAAATGCGAAAAAGCAAATGAATTGTAGGTTATAAAATTAAATTTTCATTAAAAAAACATAGAATATTATCCCAATATTGCAGCAAAAACGTCATAATGCCCAAGGAATTTTTCAATGGTTTGCCTCAATAATGATTTCAAGACACCAAATAGACAACAAATATGTTTCTTACATCAAACATTAGGGCATCAGGAGCAAGCCATAATATGCTATAATGAAGCAGCTAATGCTCCAATGGTCTGCAAACGAACAGGTTAAAAACTCACAATGCAGGACCAATACCAAGTGAAACCAATTCCATTTAATTATGTTGAAAGTCATTTTTCAGCACCTTGCTGCACTGTCACTTGTTAAATACCACTTAACATTATGCACAACTTTTACCACATTATAGGAAGGTGGATCAACATAGACATACATAGAATCACATTTGCTTAATATTTCTGTTAGCTGCTTAAATTTCTTACACTAGTAACCCACGACATCAAGGTTTTCTCTTATTTCTGTTTTATATGCTGGACACAAGAGGAGTATATTTCTTTTCCAACATAGGGAGAGGAAAAAATTTATTAGAAAAGCCTTTTTCTCAACATCATGTGGCTGTGATCCTCTTTTAAATTAAGACCGACATAACTTCAGGTTCATGATTGAGGTAAAGAAGCAAAAGATATCGCACATGGCTGTACACCATGCAAGGGGAATGCACAGAAAGGAAAACCAGAAGAGATGCAGCACATGTGTGTATTTTTTAAGTGCTCTATCGAAAACAAGCATGAAGCAGGTTGAGGTCTGAAACAAGTGCAGCAAAGATAATAATTTAAGCCTTACTGTGGGAGGGAGCATTGTTAAGGCTCATAATTTCACAGTACCATACATTATGCACGCAGTTGTAATGTCCAACCCAGATTGAGTTGGTTGGTTCAACAATATGAAGACTTTTGAAAGATCAAAGTGGGGCAAGAGTACAAAAAGAAACAAAAGATAAAGAATAAAAATAAAAGGATGCCCATTATCTAAAACAAGTGATTCTCCAATTGCATAGAGAAAGGAATGATGACTTTTAATCATAAAGCAAAGCCTCAATGTATTATACTGCGCCCTGACATTCTTCATTAAAATCCTTTTAGAATAATTTTTTCTATGGTGGACTTCTTGGGTTGACACAGGTAGCAATATCACTGAGAACAGATATTGCTGCGGAATATAACTGCATTGATTCAGGGAGAAAAAAAAATACAACAGTGAATGGCATCAAACTGGGGATTGACTGCACATTTATATAGGATGCAGCAGAATGGAATCCAATCACAAAATAGGGATAGTTTTAACCTAGAAGATGCCAATCACCCAAATTCCAAAAATATAATCTGATTGGGTGTAAAATTTCAGACATAGAGAACATCCGTAATAAATGGTTCACAATTTTGGACAGTATCATGGTAGACTGTAGTGGAGCTGACAGCTTTTCAATTTGCATGGTTAAATAAACAACATTCTGCACTATACTTAATGCATGCACTATACTTCACCGGTCCATGCTATAGGAAAAAAATACAACTCATGAACTTGGTCAATTGGCAAGACAGCAACAAAAGAAATGCATGCCAGCATAATCCAGTTATATCACACCCGTCTTACTCATCACATTCAAAATATCAACCGTACCAGATTTTTATTCAATGATGGCTTAAATGGATTGACATATAGAGCATTACCGTGCAACCTAAACGCCTGGGACAACCTTCAAAAAACATCAAGGTTTTGGAAGGCCTCTTGTTAAACTGATTGGCATTTTCATGTTCTTCAACCATTTTTTCTAACCGAAACAGTTCACAGTGTCCCAACCGTGTTGTAGAAATTTTATCAGTTGATGGAGTTATGTGAGCACCAGTGCACCTGGCTATCCGCTCCAATAGTGGTCTCCTAACATTTAACACTAAAGAGATCTCCTTTGCTAGTAGATACTCTTGGGCATATGAAGATACACTTTTCTCTACCAGCAGCACATTTGGACGGTGGGCCTCTATCCTTGAAACAATCACCTTCAGGTGATCAATTTCCTGTTTGAAAAAAAAAAAATTCATGAACTCAAGCCAAATTGCTCTGATCTCACCAGAAAGACGAATAAGTTGTTTAAGAAAGAACCTGCTGCAATAATGTATCAAAAGATGCCAGCTGATTTGGCACTCTTTGGTACTCCAGTGCTCCTCCTAAAAGAAGTAATCTAGGGTTTTTGTATTGAGAAGTCATGCGTTTGTGTTTTATATTTTTTGTACAAACTACTCCTTTAACGAGTGTGCTGCATACAAAAATAAATAATCTATTAATTGGCAAGACTAATAGCACAAAAGAAAATATGGAGTGTCTTTGAATGGAGTTACTAAAAAAATGAAAAAAAGGAGGGGATATTGTACCTCTCGCCAGGACTTCCTGATGCAATACACTTAACTTTTACATAATCACCAGGATCCATACTGCCTCCTCCACTTGTATCTGGTTTCACAAAGTCTGCAGCTTGCCATGCTATTGTCGTAACTATGTCTAGCCAGTCTTCTGTGCTGTTTTCTCTGCCGGCCTCGATGCCCACCCCTTGTAACAGCTGTGAGACAAGGGCCCTAAAATGCCCTTGAACCACAGTTCTTAAAGGTTCCTTATGACTTTCATTCTGTTTCTCCTTTGCTGGGAACATGCTATCAAAGCTACCGCTAGATGAAAATATCGCACCTGATTCTCCAATTTCATCATCCTCATCATTATATGCAAAGAAACTGTTTTCTGCCTCATCATCTTCATCCTCAGGCGGCGGAGGAAACCAAATGAGACCATTGTTTTCAAAATCCAAAGGCTTTTGCAATCTCTCAAATTGATCCCGGAATATCAAAATATCATCAGCACAATCATCAGCATTCTCTGGATCCACAGTTGCTGTCTGTGGCATATCCAACACATCCATGGTTTCTTGTTTAAAGGAACCATCATTCTGAGGACGTGGGGCTTCCCCTGCCTCTCGCTGTACAGAATGCCCAACTCTATCGGAAATAATATGAATCCCAGAGGGGCTGTCTGAAAGACTTGATCCAACAGACGTAAAACTATAAAACTCAAGTCTAGCACTAACACTACTCAAATCTATATCTGAAGCTTCATGACAGCATTCACTAGATGGGCAATAAAGGTGATTTATGGATTCCTCTCCCACATCTTCATCATTCCTATAATCATTGACACAGAATTAATGAATCACTTGCACAATAAAGCAGCAAGTACAGACAAAACTAAGAGAAAATTTAAGAGATTTCATGAAAATTAAATGTTTTACTTCTGGTCTCCAACCCCAGCTGGTCATTTATTACAACTGCCTCCAATATTAGAGCAAAGAATTCAATCTTGAAACAAATTTAGGAATCGCATAACCAAAACCGGAAAAAAAAAATATAGAAGAAATAGAAATCAAAAGTATGCATAAAAAATACTGACAGGAGTACTCAATAACATTCATTAGATGCATAATTCAACACCATATAACTCCATCCTATCTATATGCAAGGATTTTAGGAAACTAAAGATCCCATAGTGAGGAAACCTTTTCATGGATGACATATATCACTATATACCTGCTAGAAGTGCGACGAACAGATACTGGAGAAGGATGGCTAGTAATTGAAGTCACACTACTGGTCGCAGTTTGGGGAGGATAACCATCACATCTATCACCACCACTGAAACTTGGCGAAGGTGGTTCAGGGCTTTGTCGAGGCGACTCGGCAGGATAGATTTTATCACTATACCTCCCTTCACCTTTGTGCCTAAGACTAAGGTCGGAGCAAAACTTGCAGGATTTAATTTCAAGCCCAGCTTCTGGCAGGCTATTCAAATCACCAGATGCTACAGCACCTAAAGAAACATAGCCACGAATGCAATTCCTACACAATGGCCGACCACAGTTTTGGCAGTGGTACTTGAAGGAAGATTCTGAAAGGTTCATCTCGCACTCTGAACACATTTTGCACCTGTTATTAGCCATTTCGAATCCACTGGACAAGGAAGTTAGATCAGTTGGTCCCCACGAAATCCAAGACCTAACCTTCTCTATAAAATCTGATAGTGAACTATCGGGTATTCCCATAGACCGCAATGATCCACAAAGGAAAACCACCAATTTATCCACCAAGCTAAACCTATATCACTCTTCTTCTCCTCCTAATTAAAACAAAACTACCAAAGATATACAATCCAATTGAACTTATCGGATTTGTTGATACCAAAAAGAGAGAGAATATCCGATCAATAGGAAAAAAAAAACTATCAACCCACAAGAAAAAAGGTGGGCTTTTTTTCTTCCAACACCCTAGTTATGCTGATTTTAATTTTTCTCTTCTTTTGGGAAACAAGTAAAATTTCAAGAGAAATGGAAAAAATTCCTCCTGGAATCACAAAATAGCGAAAAGGAGGATATCGATGGTTACCATTGATTCACAGAAAATCTGACTCTATTTACACTGAATCCTGTTAATATAATGACACAACCACAACAAATCAAAACAACAACAGTATATTTCCTTCTCTCAGTCCATAAAAAACATTAAGAACTAGAGATTGCCAAGACCTGAACCTAGCTAACCAATCCTGGAATCGCAAAGATTCGATCCCAAGTTTAATTTAGCCATAACCAAAACAAGATCCAGAGATTGAGCACCAAACCCATAAAATTAAGCCTAAAAACAACCAGCAACAAGAAGAAAGTTCTTGATTTCGACAGAAAAAGGGTCAGAGAGGAAAACCCAGATCAAAAGAATCAAGAAAGGAGGTGGGAGTATTGTGTTTCTAGCAAGTTAATTTCAAGAGAGAGAGAATGAAAATGGAAATCTAAATAACAAAGAGGATGAGAATGAAAAGGAGGAAAAGAAAGAGTACGGAGTAGGTTCCTTTTCTATTGCACTGAGTATGTATGGCTCGCATCTCCCTGAATACCATCTGCTTCTTCTTCAACAGCAAGAGCAACCCCTCTTTCTTTCCCCTCTTTCCCGGCAATGCTTTCATTTTCACTCCTCACCACATTAAAAAAATACACACACATATGGGCTTACATAATACATACATATACACACACAATCTTTCTGTATACCCTTCTTTCTCTCTCTCTAACTTTCTTTCTTTTGCAGTCAACTTTATCCACCTTAGGGTTTATGTCAGTGAAAACGAAATCCTTTCACTTTTTCTTATTTTTTTTGGTCTTTTACTGCTCTTTCCCTTTGCTTATTGGGCAGCTTGATGATTTATTAATGGATTAATTATAAACTACATTCTGAAATATCGTTTGAATTTTAATTTGTACTTTAAAAATAAAAATTTTAATTTATATCCTCAAAAATAGAATTTTATATTAATATGTACCCCCAAAGATCAACAATCTCAANCTCTTTGCTTATTGGGCAGCTTGATGATTTATTAATGGATTAATTATAAATTACATTCTGAAATATCGTTTGAATTTTAATTTGTACTTTAAAAATAAAAAATTTTAATTTACATCCTCAAAAATAGAATTTTATATTAATATGTACCCCCAAAGATCAACAATCTCAATTTACACCCTTAAAAATAAAAATTTATATTAATATACACCCTCAAAGATCAAAAATCTCAATTTATATCCTTAAAAATAGAAATTTATATCAATATGCACCTAAACTAATCGTCGTCAGTTTACTACCTAAAATTAATTGATAAATTAAACTTAAATTCCCTCATGTTTGTCATTTAGCAATTATATTTTTTATTAAATAATTTTTAACATGTTTGTTCACATGTAACACGTAACTATTTTTAATTGATATATGTTAATATAATTGTTAAAAAAATAATTTTATTTTAATAAAAAATATAATTTTATATTACTTTTTTTTTTGTGGGTTCGATATGCTCTATAGTTCAAAATTATGAGGGGATTTAGGTATAATTTATCAATTTAGTTTTAGACAGCAAATTGACGGCAGTTAATTTTAGGTGAACATTGATACAAATTTTTATCTTTGAGGGTACAAAATGAGATTTTTTATCTTTGGGGGTACACATTGATACAAATTTTTATTTTTGAGGGTGTAAGTTGAGATTTTGATCTTTGAGGGTGAAAATGGAGATTCGAATGATTTTTTGGAGTTTAATTTATAATTAACCCTTTATTAATGGGGGGTTCTGATATGTNTGTGCACCTAAACTAATCGTCGTCAGTTTACTACCTAAAATTAATTGATAAATTAAACTTAAATCTCCTCATGTTTGTCATTTAACAATTATATTTTTTATTAAATAATTTTTAACACGTTTGTTCACATGTAACTCGTAACTATTTTTAATTGATATATGTTAATATAATTGTTAAAAAAAAAATTTTATTTTAATAAAAAATATAATTTTATATTACTTTTTTTTTGGTGGGTTCGATATGCTCTATAGTTCAAAATTATGAGGGGATCTAGGTATAATTTATCAATTTAGTTTCAGACAGCAAATTGACGACAGTTAATTTTAGGTGAACATTGATACAAATTTCTATCTTTGAGGGTACAAAATGAGAATTTTTATCTTTGGGGGTACACATTGATACAAATTTTTATTTTTGAGGGTGTAAGTTGAGATTTTGATCTTTAAGGGTGAAAATGGAGATTTGAACAATTTTTTGGAGTTTAATTTATAATTAACCCTTTATTAATGGGGGGTTCTGATATGTTAATTAGGGTTGTAGGTAATTCTTAGCTATGATTGGTTAGAAACCGTGTGGAATTTGGATGGCACTAATGTGTTGAAAATTATTTAATACCCTATTAAAAAATAATTATTTTTAATGATCAAGTTATTTCATTTAGAATAATTTTATCAAAATAAAACATTTAGAAATAAATTTTTTATATTACACATTTAATATTTTAAAAGTGTTNGGCACTAATGTGTTGAAAATTATTTAATACCCTATTAAAAATAATTATTTTTAATGATCAAGTTATTTCATTTAGAATAATTTTATCAAGATAAAACATTTAGAAATAAATTTTTTATATTACACATTTAATATTTTAAAAGTGTTGCAATACAATTCTTTCGTGAGCATCTATTACTTATTCCATTAAAAATTACTCTATTAATGCTGACGGAATANTTGCAATACAATTCTTTCGTGAACATCTATTATTTATTTCGTTAAAAATTACTCTATTAATGCTGATGGAATAAGTAACAAAAACTTACAAAAGGATTACATTGCAACTTTTTTTGATATGTTAAGGATACAATGTGGAGAATCTAATATTTGAAGTTACAAATTGAAAATTCTTAAATTTCTAAGGGTATAAAGTGTAATTTGCCCCTCTTTTTATTTATTGGTGAGATTGATGATTTATTAATTGGGGTTCTGATTAATTAATTATTTTGGAATTGGGTATTGGGTATTGAAGTTTCTAAGCTACGATTGGTCAGAAACAATGTATGGAATTTAATGTGTTTTGGCTGCTCAGTCAATACCAGTAATAGATGTGGAGGATTGAGTCTTTATTTTGCACCTGAAATTTCAACCACTCTCAGCCTAAGCGCGTGAGGTTGATGCTTTGCTTCGTTACGAGGCAAACGTGTGCCACGCCCACCTTTCTTGCGATCCTGCATGCTTTGTTTTGGTGGTTTCAAAGTGCATAATTTGAAAATCAAAAATATATTTTGTCCATTTTTTTATTGGGTATTGATGGTGAATTCATTTAAATACAATAAAATTAATTTAGATTTATTTTAAGTAATTTAAAATCAAAAGAATTAAAAAATATATTAAATGGATCTTATAATCTCCTTTCATTCAAGTAAATTTTTATTATATAGTCTTCCTTATTTTATATTAAAGATGAGTAATTATTTTTTATAATTAATAACATGTCCCGAAATTATAAATAATGGAAGCTAAATTTTAAATACAATTGTACCACTAAGTTAGATATTAATCTGAATCGTTTGAGGTGGGGTTGAACTTCAACCAATTTAGTTAGAATTTTGACAATAAAGTTCACATTGTGCGGTTATGTATATAGTCGAACTTCAACATATAATTAAACAATCAGAGAAAGTGAACGCACTTCAATTATTTAAGAATGAGCCTCTATCCATATTCCAAATGTCAAAGTTATCTAGATTAGAGGTATTTAACCGGGTTAAGCTTTTGTTTTGCTCAAGCTCAGTTCAAGTTTATTATCGTAGGCTTAAGTTAGGTCATCGAACTTCAATTTTCACTCAAGCTCAACTCGAGTTCTAGATTTTTTGCTTCACTTCATCTCGGTTCTTTTTCGTACTGTGGCCAAGATTTTAACTTGGACTTTAAAATTTCCAAAAACCACACAACTTACTCTAACAACAACAATCACTTGATAAAAAATAAGAGGTTAACAACTACATTATTTCTTCATTATAGCAAATATTCACATTTTACGTCAAAAAACAAATTTAACTTGAGCCCACCATTCCCCCCCCCCCCCCCCCCCCCCCCCCCTCTTCTTCC